TATTTTCCAGCAACGAGAGGATAAAATCGCTGTTTTTTTAAGTAAACTCACTCTAAAAAGAGAAACGCACAGACGTGCATACACGCAACTTTCATCTCTTTGTCTCTCTCTCTCTCTCTCTCTCTCAAATTGGCAATATTTGAGAAAAGGGTTTAGCGATTTCTAATTATTGGGGGTGGTTATCGCCCTGATCAGACTATGTTGTGGCACTATCATGCAGTCTATAATGATATGACGTTAGTTAGCAAATATTAGCGATTTTTTGCAAACATTTGAGTAACATGACCGTAAACTCACGATTGAATGTAACAAAGCAAATGATTACTTTTCGTTAAAATCTGTATTAATGCAAAAATGCTTACATTTGTGTCTTTTTGTTCGCTCGGGCAGCCATGTTGACCCTGAAGCTGGTTTACACTGAGATAATTCATACCCCTTCGTTTGAAGTGTGGTCCCGAAAAAAATCTTCGTTTGAAGGGCTGTCTGGCCCTTCCCCTACCCCTACCCCTCCAACAAAAAGAGAATTAAGAGACACCCCTACCCCTTCATATGAACGCGCAAAACGGAGGGGTAGGGGAAAGGGGAAGGGCTAAGGGGTAGAATTGGGACTGGGCCTATAAGTGAAATCTAAATTAAGGATGATTCTTCTGTTGTTGCTCTGTTGTGTGTGTTGTGTTGCTCAACCTGCTTTAAGTCCAGTACTTCCTGTAAACTGGAAAAGCTTCATGAATTAGTCATGATTGCGTATTTAATGATCACACTTTTCTCTTCGTTTATAGGACGAATGAAGTTGACTGCGTGAGGAACACCTCAAAGAGGGTCCATCCAATCAGCTTCTTTTCTTAAGCGAACCAATGAAAGACCTTGCTTGCTGCAGGGGAGGAGCTTAACCGGCAAATCAGGGTTGATGTTGGGAACTATAATGACTGAAGCCATGTTCCTTTTGATCGGAGTGACCGACGTAATTTTACGATGCCGATGTGTGATTGAAAACGATCAACACTCCCGCTGACCTCTCGACAACACCTGCTGCCTCAGGACGAGAAGACCCTTCTGTTATGGCAAAGTATTTCTGGGCAATAACGCACTTTAGTCTAGTCTAGCCTGTCATTTGTAATGTTGATGTTACGTAAATGCGATTTGATTTCTAGATGCTTGAATGTGCGTGTATGTATATATTTGTGTGTCTGAGCAAGATTTTAATTTTTATTTTATTTGATTTCTTGCTTTTCTTTCTCTTTTTTTTTTTCTGCAAGAACAAGTCAAAATTTCACACCCCATAAGCTTTGAACAAATCTGTGTTTCATAGTGGCAATACAAAATAATGCAAATGTTCAAATCTCAGTAGCATTTCGTCTTTTTGTATATAGAAACT